GGTATTCTATTTGAAATAACAAAGTTGTTACTACTTTTTGATAAAAGTGGCAACACTGCATTGCTGAAAATATTTCAGATGAAGAGAGCGTATTCTGAAATATAAGCATGCAAATTTCCATGGATTTCTCCTGACTGATTCTCGATATAGAGATAGTGTGAGATCGTCGTGACTAACCCTATGTATGTTCATCCTCAGCCTAATATAATTACTTCATCTCTGTCGTGGAAATGAAAAAAAAGTTGTTCAATCTCAATATAAAAAGGGTTGAATTTTGCTGAAGAGAGTTGTTGGGTCCAATTGATCTGATCGTTATTGATCATATTGAATTGTCGTGGATATGATTTCGAGTAGTATTCAGTTGTTGATATATCTCAATTCGATTTCAGGAACACAAATATCGGAACAATGATCTCCTTATGATACCCACACAACCCCCAAAATGACGCAATCGCACTACTCCCTGCGCTGGAACAACCACCAGGCGCACATCCTCGCCGCTTTCGAGGCCCTCTTGCACGCAGAAACCCTGGTCGACGTCACGCTGGTATGCGCTGAGACCTCGGTGCGTGCGCACAAAGTGGTCTTGAGCGCATGCTCGCCCTTCTTCGAACGCATCTTCTCGGAGAACCCGTGCAAGCATCCGGTCATCGTGCTCAAGGACTTCAGCGGCTGGGAGGTGCAGGCGATAGTGGACTTTATGTACAAGGGCGAGATTTCTGTGGGTCAGGAGCAGCTGCAGAGCTTGATGCGCGCGGCGGAGAGTCTGCAGGTCAGGGGATTGGCCAACGAGGATGGAGTGGGGGATAAGGAACCCGCGGCGATCGTGAATCAGACGCTCACTCCGTCTACGAGTCCCAACGAGTTCGATAGGAATTGCTTGAGCGGCAGCAGGTAAGATAGAACAGTTCCATATTAGTGTCCCTTGATGCAAACTGACGTATTTGTTATCTAACAGGGTACGGACAGATCATAGCTCCTTTCTTTTTTAATCATCTAGTGCAGGGGTTCTCAACCTTTTTGACCCCATGCACCCATTTTACCATTATCCCAGATGACATTCCCCCTTAAAATACTCCCCTTATACATTTTAGCTTTCATTACATAAATGTTGATTACAATAGTAATAATCTTGTCCCCAACATAGCTGGTGCTCCATCTGTACAACAACCACAGAGATTTTCCCACACAAGATTCTCAGACTGAAAGAATAATGAAACTTTTTCTAAAATATCTGAAGCCTTGGTAGTTGTTTCAAGAGATGAACAAAAGAGGAACTCCTCCTTAAATGAACCCAAATGAATATATCTTGCAAATACCAGGAGTTGTGAACATGATGCAACATCTGTTGATTCATCAAGTTGAATTGAAAATAGACCAAATGGTGCAGATCTGATCTCCTGAACTACTTGATTCTTAATATCATGGGCCATGTCACTGATTCTCCTTTGAATAGTACTATTTGATAATGGAATCGACGCCAGCTTTTTCTCCAATCCATTTCCCAACAGTGACTTTGGTTTCGTGTATTGGCGTTCCTGACATGACATTGCTGTCACGTCACATTCATAGGCGTAAAAAGAGATCTTTCAAAATTTCAATTTCATACTTTAGCCATTTTTCCTCGAAGTTAACCACACAAACCGGGTCAACAAAAAGTTAACTAGTCCATTTTCCTCGAAGTGTATTCCAAACCATGACTTAATAGTTAACCAACCATACTAACCAGCACACTGAGGTAGTTCACGGAGTAGTTAAGGCTTTTGATCAGGCACTGGATTGGGCTCTTGTTGTTGTGATCTGAGGTTATATAATCGATAAGAAAAAATAATTATAATTATGGATGCACACGAAGTATTTTTCAATGAGAGATCTCATCATATTATTGATAAAAATGAATATTTGATTCATTTGGACTGCTCGTTAGTGCTTGCTCTACCTGCTGAACTTGATTTTTTTCTATGACTATCTCTGTTTACTTCATGCCATAAACAGAAACAACTATGGAAAAGAATCAACTTTAGCAAGTTCAGCAATACAAACTAACAGGGCTAATTGTTCTTCTTCTTGAATTTGAAGTAGGTAAGTACCTGATTCTCATCTATGATATATATATATCTTTGTACAGATGATCAATTTCTCATCCAATATATCAGTCGAGATATTAGTATTACTACTAGAACCAAACAATAAACAAAAACAGCAGACAAATTGACATCTGTCAAGCTTCACAAGTGAACCGTGACGTCATAATAATGTTACCGTGACGTCATCATAGAGTTAACATGGTTTGACTGGTTAGGTTCAAGGAAGAATGACTTTTATCTTAATACGACATTATTCAATCCTGTTTTGGAAACATGGTAATATGGGCTGCGTTAGGCTGTATCAATCAGTTGGATGGCAAATTTGAATTTGACAGCTTTCCATCAGATGCAAATAAACTTAGAAAATGGAAAGTGAAGTGACTGAATGTGGAAAATTGGTAAATACATCAGCAAAATATTCGAGGTGAACCTAATATGAAATCACATATTATACTTTCTCATTGTTCCTATAATTATCCACTCCAAAAGTTTTTGAAAGCATTTTGGTAGAAACAGTTTTGGTTGAAACGGAGGAATAAAAGAAGAGGCATATGCCCTACCATTCAAAAAATTATACCTCCATCCAGGAAATATTGAGTGTTTGTGAAAACCTGCAAAAATGATTTCCAACATGAATATATATAGCACACATGACATATGAGCACATTAGTTTGAATACCTATATACAATTTTCACCATTTCTCAAAATAAGGCTTTGTCTGAAATCAAAATCTATTTATTGATAGGTAAATCGTATTAAACTTTCAGAAAAATGTGCTCACTGCCTCACAAAGATTATGATGAAGTTGAAAAATCAAGAAATATGTAGAGTTGAATGAGAAATTACATGTGGAAATTACGTATGATATGCCAATGTCCTCAATATAATTTGAGAAACAACAAATGTCAGGAATCTAGTGTTTTTTCCCAGAAATGAATTAAGATGGAACTATATAACTGTTTCACAAACACTTCAGAGTGAGATGAGACGAGGATCTGTCCGTACCCTGTTAAGATGACAAATACGTCAATTATTCACCTATTCCATATGACAGTGACGGAAGTTGTTTTTATCAATGCTAACATTTCTTCATGATTTGTTATCGTTGTTTCCATTGAAATACAACAATATGCTATGTATAGGTTCTTGTTCTGAATCTTAATAATTTTTGAATTCACTATCAAAGAGGGATATAACATAATATGAGGCTGAGGTAAAACACAAAAAAAGTACGTTCAAACGAATACATCTTGAGATCAAAATAACCATTCGATTTCCATTTCAGTTTGAGCAAAATATATTGGAAATATTATGTATACTGTATACGTATGTTTACGTGATGAGCTGAATCTAGTCGATCTGATTCAAATTTCTTATTAAAAAATAACAGAGTTGCATGGTCAGTAATGTCTATTACCCTAACAATATTCTGGTAAACATAGGAACAACCAGATACAAAAAGTTGCTGAAAAACAGTGACATTTTTATGTGATGACTTAGCAAATACTGTAATCTAATCTCATAGTTCGTCATCTGGAATTCCTATAAAATGATCTGTTCCAGTGAAAATTTTTGAAATGAGTGATTGTAGACATCTCAGAAGATCACTTGTGCAATCAATCAGTTTCAATTTGTAGAGGAATTATGGAACTATGATGAATATAGTTTACCTAGCTATTTCGCTTGAATAAGCCAGCAACGTGAGTATTTCCGGTTATATGAATTGGGTTCTTTCCCAAAAAAAATACGATAATTTCCATCAGGATTTTGGTTGTTTTCTTATTTTTGGACATTATGGATAACTTGCACCACTTGCACAAATACAATCAAACTCATCAAATGCAAACAGTTTGTCAATTTGGATAATATTATTCTTAAATGATTTTAAAAGTGTCAGTGCGAGACAGAGGAAAGTTAGATAACCATGAACTGATATTCTTCTTCATGAAATGATGTCAATAACGGTACCTCACACTTAACAAATGAGTTGAAAAAGTGTTGTCATTTTTCAACAATATTGCTATCAATTCAACTTATAATCAATCTTGCAGTTACTGTCCAAACAAAATACAGAATTGCTTAGCATGTTATGATCATAACAATATTGTTATCTCAGCAATGTTATAACAATATCTGAACAGAATCGACCCGAATATATACTTTTCATTAAAAGATACAAGTGTTTTAAGATATTATATAATTTTTCAACCAACTGATCAATAATCACATAACCGCTAACACTTTCGTTTCCTTAGCACTCACTGAAAAAGAACTTAATTACAAAAAACAAACAAGAAGCAAAATTCCTAGATGTTGTCAATAACGAGTATGACCTCCTGCTCAATAACCTCCGTTGCAAATTTCTCAAGCAGTCCTAATGAGGGCGAATCTCAGTTCCTGTGGGCCAAACGAAAAGCTGACTGCGCCTCTGGAGTTCATCCCAGAGGTGCTCTATAGGTTCTGAATCTCTGGAAAATTACATACTTTTATAAAACTCGTGTATCTTCTCTAGAACAGAAAATATCAACGTGAATCAAAATCCATTGTATATCACACCCCGATTCAAAATATGATGAAGCTTATTACTATAACAACTCACTTTTGCCACAGGTCATTAAGAAGTAGGGGATGAAAAAGTAACTTTTGTTTTCCCCTGTTAATTGATCAAACCATCAGCTCTTCTTGGGTACTAAAATTCATGCTAAGATTCCTAAACATGAATCTACGATTTGTTGAAAATTTCACTAGAATCGGACAAGACTTAAAAAAAGGCCACGGTGATCAAGTTGGCAAAATATTTTCCTGGCCAGTTCTGTATGTATAATAAACACCTCCTTATCAAATGATGCCTCGGTTTCGGTTCCTCAGTTCTGTTTCCAAATGAAACTCGTTTTTTCAGATGTTCTAACCCCATGCTGGCTCCAAGAACCCCCGTGGAGCGTCTCTCCCCATTCTCCCCCATCTCCGTGCATCATGCGGAAGTCAAACTGCCTCACATGTCCAGGCTTACCTTCCCGGAGAGCTACTTACCGCGCCAGGAAAACTTCCTGGCGCGTCAGGACAACCACCTGGCGCGCCAGGACAGCTTCATGACGCGCCAGGATAACTTTTTGGCGCGTCCGGAGTCGCCTCTGCCGCGACGAAAGCAGGCCAGGCCTAGGAGGCGGTCGGGGGAGCTCTACGGGGCCCAGGATCTCAGCGCCAAACCGGACAGTCCAGCGGAAGATCGGGCGGAGAATTTATGCTTGGTGAGTATTTTTTCAAACTCCTTTATATCCCTAGACCTTATACTGTAAATATGGCTCTGTAATGAAATAGCGCTGTACAGGTTGATCAATTACCCAGCTAGCATTCACACGTCAATTTCACGTCATATACGCGTCACCAATTACGTCAAGATGACCAAATTATCGACGTGAAAGAGACGTAAATGTGACGTCAATATGTCACATCGAAACGACGTCATCTAGCGACGTCGTTACAACGTCATTTAGCGACGTCGTCTACACGTCGAATAGTTACCAAGCATCAGGTCCAGGTTTCGACTTCACAAAGAAACTGTGGAACTCGAAATCACTTTCCCATGATCCTATTCCTTGATGGTTAGCAAAACAGTTCAAATGATCTAGTTACAATAGTTGTGGATATTTTTTATTCGTTTACATAATTATACATATGTATTCTCCATCTGAATAAAACTAAAATCCACTATATTCCATAGTATATAGACATAAACGAAGATGTCAAGTTTCAAAGGAATCTCAACCTAATAACCTCAAATTATTCTTGTACCTACGATTTAAGGTATTTATAGATTACCTTCTTCAAATAACGACCTCACTACATCAAACAACTTCCAAGTTGCATCTATAGATTTCGCTTTCTCAATTATTGACCTGTTCAAAAAAGTCTTGCTGTTTGAAAGGCGGCCACTACACTTCGCAGCCTTACGAGGCGTCATGGCGTCAACTACTTCTACTAAACGAGAGCAATGCCTCTCCTCGGAATATTGTATTCCCACAAACATGTCTATTGCCTGGAGTTGATAAAACAACCAGCGAACTGCAATATATTTTGCTGAACCCCACTTTTCCATAGTATCCTTGCTTTCCATGACCCAAAATCACGAATCCGCCATTACAACATTCGATGAACTGGATCACGCATGCGCATGATTACGACAAACTGTGCTACGATCGACGATGTCCGATAGGGGTATCAAAGGGGTATCGGGTATCGGTGGCATTGTGCGAAACGAAGACACACGAAGCCACGGATTGACCAATCATAAGCATCTGTATGTCTTGACGTGGCGCGCCAATATAAAACATGGAGGCACCTGGTATGTATTTGTATATACATATAATGAATTCTTGAATCTTCCGTATCTGTTACCAAGTCATTCAGGTTGTTTTTTATTAATATTCGTTTTACATATTTCACCACTTAGTTTTATCCATGTCAGGTATACGTGAATCCTCTTTACTGAGGTAGGTACCTACCTAAAATGATTGGTGCACGCAAAATGACGTCAATTATTGGTCGAATCTTGACGACGACCAATTGCCACCTATTATCCACGTCGATTCGACGAGCGGCAATATCTCATAAGATATTGGTCGTATAGATTTGAGGAAAAAAAATCATCATAAAAGTCACCAAGAGAAATTACTAGAAACTATTTCCGAGTTTGTCAAACGTCCGGTAGAGGGCATAACAACCAACACCAAGAAGAAAAATGAGATTTTTATAGAATTTTGACTGTTGAAAGTTAATTGATGATATCATTTTTATATTAACTGACCATTTCTCTACATTTTTTGTCTTGAACGTTTTGTTGAATCTATCAAAATAAAGCGGCGGGAGAAGTTCAATTGTTTTTTTAAACAAACCAAGATTTCTTCCGTTTATTTCTACCGATTTAAGAAAACTTAGGTTCATATGAAAAAGCACAGTTTGCCTTACAAAACCCTCATTTGGTTTTGAATTTTTGACTTCTGCTGTCGCCGCTGGATGGTGTTAACTGAAATATTACCAAATTTTCGAGTAAAAAAAAAACAAGTGTAATAGTATGTTAATTTTTATTTGTTTTGAAGGAGAATAAATTTCTCTATAATTCAATGAAAATAATTTTTTTCTGGAACCGTTGAAATTGACCAAAATATAATTTTATCACATTAAAAAATGGCACGCCACTGTTTTTAGCGACCTCTACCAAGAATATATTTTTTACACAAAAGTATTCTAGAAATCTATTTTTCTACCATGAAACGTGTTACAGGTACACACAAAAAAGTTATGACTTTTCAAAAGACTCAAAAGACATGTAGGTGGCGCCACCGAAAGAGATAAACCACCATAAAATTTGATAGTGTCATTGAAAAATACCGCTAGAAACCAAACTTCATTCGATATCACAATTGTTTCGAAATTTATTAACAAAAGACAAAAATAAGAATTCAACTTTGACACTCTGTATCTCAGAAACGAATAACTTTCGAATATATAATTATACGAACTTTTCTTCTTATTTTGACGTCAGCAACATGCTCCTGAATTTTCTACACGTACTCAAGAAACAGCCTGTGTAACACTATTTATGTATTACTTCAAGAAGCGAACGAAAGAAGTTAAGATAAAGGACGAGAAGCCGCGAACGCCCGAGCGCGGCGCAGACAGTCCCGAGCTGGACCTGAGCCCCACCAAGGACTTCAGGACGTCTCCCCCCGTCCAGATGCTCCCCCCCGGGGGAATGAAGCAGGAGGTGGACAGCCATTCGCCGTTGCCCTTTCCGCCGATGCCGTCCGTCGCGGCGCTCGCAATGACGCCGCCGCATAGTAAATGTGAGTAATTTTTTTTTCTGCAACCGACACAAAAATAATCCATTTCAATACCAAAATTAGTTCTTGAATTGACGTTTCTATTACTGACACATCAGGAGGTATGTTGCTAGGCAACACATTTAGTTCCTAGGAGCTAAAGTTGAACTTTAGTTCCTTGGAACTGAAGTTGAACTTTAGTTCCTAGGTGCTGAGGTTGAACTTCAGCTCCTAGGATCTGAAAAGGATGTACTGGAGGTCATCATGAATAAACAACATTGTTATGGTTGTTTATTCGGGTTGGGACGCATACCTGATTTTTTTACGATTTCAACTGATTTGGCACCCATGCTGCAGATATAAATACACCCTAGTATGGTCTTTGAGTATTCACACTAGTGTATACAGGGTGAGTCATTAGTGTGGCAAAGTGAGATAACTGCTTTACTATTTGAGATAGATGAATAAAAATTTCAGAGATGATCTAAGATCATAAGCAGCACATATCCAAATTATTTCGCTTCATACAGGGTAACTCAGAAATGCGTGGCGTATTAAAGTTATACTTTTTCTTATGGGACACCCTGTATTTCATTGTATTTTCGCATTCTCCCTTGTGAGCTGATTTCATCATTGCATCACACTTGGGGTCTAGCGAGAATGATTACAGAGATATAGGGTGTTCAAAATTCAGATTTTTCAACTTTAGGTTTTTTTTGTGTCAAAACTATCCATTATCAATCAAAGCGGCTTACATGTCCCTATCTTTAACTTTCGATTCACTATCTAACAGATACAGGGTGATCAGAATGCTGAATCTTGAACCACCCTGTATTTGTTCCAATTAAATGTTAGTAGATAGTAAATAAAAAATTGGGATAAGGACATGAAAGCCGTTTTGACCAATAACGAATTGTTTCGACGCAAAAAAAATCCTAAAGTTGAAAAATCTCGATTTTGAACACCCTTTATCTCAGTAATCATTCTCGCTAGACCCCAAGTATGATGCATTGATGAAATCAGCTCACAAAGGAGAATGCGAAAATGCAATGAAATACAGGGTGTCCCATAAGAAAAAGTATAACTTTTATACGCCACGCATTTCTGAGTCACCCTGTATAAAGCGAAATAATTCGAAAATGTGCTGCTCATGATCCTAGATCATCTCTGGAACTTTTGTCTATCTATCTCAAACTGCTGTAAAGCCGTCATCTCACTTTGCCACACTAATGACTCACCCTGTATAATCAAGAGTATAGTTTCGGGATGCATAACTTGTTTTTGAATAATCACGGCCAGCAATAGTTTTTTGTCTCAAGCAACGATATTGTTTACCTACATTTGATTATCAAGCCAAACACAGTGGAGTATGGAGAGAAATAAATAATCGCTATTATTATTGTTGATATGCTCACTAACCTAACGTCTTTGTTCCTATACCAGGCTCCGTGGCCGAGTTTGTCTATGCGCTGAAATTCGCTAGATAGCCGTTCACGATGCAGAGGTACTGTCGGTTCGAATCCAGCTGTCGGCTGAGCATTTTTCTTTGAAATGTATGATTCATGGTTGTAATCCTGGCAGCGCCTCGATGCCCTAGAAGTGGTTCGGATTCCATTATAAGCTGTAGGTCCCGCTCTTCCTAACCCCACACAAGTTTCGACTTCTGGGGAGTTGGTTCCCAGAGTATCTGGTCCATACACAAATATGTCACTCTGTGGTTGTATCTATATTGAAACTACAATTCGAACATCCTTGAAAATTCAATAAACCTGCTGTCCATGCAGGTAGAATAATCTCACCACACGGATTATTCGTTGCATGCATATGGCACTGCATTGGTGGTTACCTACTTCACATATTTATTCGGGTTAATCGTTTCGGTTGCAAAAAATGGCATGTTTCATTGGAATCAAAAGTGACTTTGTTTGACTCGCAAATGCAAAATTCGCTTGTCAAACAAAGTGTCACTTTTGATCCTACTAAAACAATCTACTATTTCACGCCGGTGGGAGTAGAAGTAGAAGTTACTTTCTCTGGTGACAAAACAGGGCCAGAAGTGGCGTATTATTCCCTAGGGAGATAATGCGACATATTTTCTCCCTAGGGAGATTATACCAATTTTATATTTTCCGCATAGCTCTGCGCTTTTTTTCCGCAACAACCTTCTCTAAAGCGAGTATAAGCTGCATCATACAGATTTCTATATTTCACTGGTAGCTAGTTGAGAGTCACTGCAGAAGCAGTATCAGCAATTTGGGTTCTTCCTCGATTACTTGTTCCATAACCGTTGACCATTTTCAAAGCTGTTTTCATAAATTTGCTGTTACCATTGGTTGTCAACAAGTTGCATTTTGTCAAGATACGAATTCCACAAACTATACTACTACTAATTAAGACGAAACACTTTGACTAGATTTTTGTTCATCCCTAATTCTTATGTTCTCGCCAGCGTAAAAAATAGTATGTACACCTCAGGACAGAATGTTATTTTTCCCTCGGTGCTTTGTAACTCTAGTACTTCGCCCTTGAGCTAGAAATCGCACCTTGGAAACAATTTTGATTTCTGTCCCTTGATGTATAATGTACTATTATTTTGCGTCTTGGATGAACTCATTTTGACACCCAAATGCCTATCGAAACAGCTCGTATTAGGACACGCTATATCTATTTTTTCAAAGTTGGCAATGATAACGTCAAACTGTCAAACGTACTAGCGTCTAGAGATTGGACGAAAAACTAAAATAATATGTTGGTGAAAATTATGCATTTTTGCAGACATATTTTCGGTATCACTTGTATCACGTTAAACTACTTTGTATACAAGCGTGGCGTACACTTGCCCTGTAGTAGTTTATAAAACCTGCACTTTTTGTGATCACAAGAAAAGTGCATGTTTAATTACCACAGCCATAGATGACCCGTTAATCTATGCCACAGCGCATATGCAAACGTTGAATAATTGTTACACAATAGCCTCCTCTTCATCACATGTTCAGTTTATAATTTCGGAACTTCCTACGTGCTTCCTACACCAGAGCACCATACGCAAATTCTTTCCGCGGTATAATTTTCTCAAATTCCAACAAGAACCAATCTGCTTGCATATACTTATCGTTCGAAATCTTCAATTTTCAAGGCAAATTCAAATTTGATTGGTGACGCCGCTGCATGCGACTACAATTCGAGGATTGTCTAGGACATGTTGAAAACCCATTCAAATCATTACTTGACAGTTGCATACATTAAAAAAACGTTGCAAAAAATCTGTCATCACAGGCCAGTCTATTCAGAACTTCTTCCGGTATTTGGGACAGTCCTAGGGATTATTTTCAATTCGCAATGGTGCATTTATCAACTAACTGTAACAGTTATGATTGTCAGGAATGAAATGAGATTGTTAGATTCTATTCTTTTCATTGCCTTTGTGACAGATACGGTCCTTACATCATGCAAAACATGGATGTGAGGAAATTGTTGAATTTCGGAGCTCATTTCAAACGTACCGTCATGACCACCATTTGGCGATACGTCGAATAAATGGTGACGTCAGCTTTTATGCTGTTTCGTTATTGGTCAGATGATTTTTTATTCCCAGTCACTAAGAGACAAATATTCTTGGCGGCGGTCAGTAAATCGTATCTTTTGGAGCAATTTATTCAAATATTTGATGATTTCGTTATGATTGGATTACGATGGACCTATTATTCGTGGATTAGGTGTCTTAGAATTATATTTGTGATTAATCAAATATTATTGAATGAGAAATCAAACAATATTACAACGCTTTATTTCACTGGATTTCATTATTAATAAGGACACTGTTCATCATTTCATGTAAGAGTATTGTTCAAAGAAGAACGAGAATGATGCCTACTTACTGGAAAGTATTTGTTTTTTCAAGAATGCCATTTAAAGGATCAATAATGCATCTCTGGCCAATTTTCATGATTTCTTTTTTAAAATTCAATTCTCATGATATTTTGAATCAACAATTCAATAAGAGTAATCATATATTTATTTTAAACATGATTTCCTGGGGAAAACTCAAATAAAACAATTCAATAAACTCAAGAATATTTTGTATTTAACTACTTTGGTCATTTCACGTTTTCGAATGTTGAATGTTTCTTTGATATGTTTGTTGAGGATTCTTATTTTGAAATACGTTTTACATCTAAAAAATAGATTTTTGGCATCATCACTCAAATCAATAGTTTGAGCTAATTTAGTCAAATTTTCTAGGTAGTTTTTCTCAATTTGTTCAAGAAACGATTAACCATCAAAATGATGTCATGAGGCAAACAAATCTCTAAACTATAATAATGAAAGTTTTCTGCAGGCTCTACACAATATACTTTTACCATAAAATCCACTGTCAGTAAAACTACTAGTGTCATGAATATTTTCAAATTGCAAATATTTGCTAATTAGTAGGTTTATTTTACCCCATCAGAGTCGATTGTTCAATATTTCAATCTTATTATTGTTTATTAGTATTTCCAAGAGCCCTATAGGGCTCTTGGAAATACTATAGTTCTACTCAAATCTAAATCTCAGTAGAATAATTCAAAGTACTGAAACCCTATATACAATGAGCTCAAACTAAAGAATATGAATAAAACTACCCGCATTTATAAGTATATAATACACGGTATGTACGTTTTTTTCAAAAACCTCTTTTCATTTCTTCTGTCACAATTGTCCTGTGATTCTGTTTTAGGTTTTGGTGTTTTTGGGAGGTTAAGTGAAGGTATGGCATCAGTTTTCAATTTCCATTTATTCTTTGATAATTTCAAAAGTTTTTCTCTCAATCGGATATCATCATCTGAAAAATGCTGGGAGCCTCAGATTTCATTCGCCTGAGCTGGGAACATATTCTAGCAGTTGTTATGTTGAATGTATGCTTCTGGTAACATTTCTGAACTCATACATTGCAAATTTCTTTGGATTTTGGAAAAGTGAAGAATCGGTAAGTGGTAGAGTTTTTGCTCTTTTTATTGTTGTTGCTCGAACAACCCACCACAGCACAATAAACTATAATTTTCTGAAAAAAATCAAACCAAACTGATGTAAAAATGCCACAAACACTGCGTTCTTGTGGCGCGCCAGCCGAAATTTGTCACGTGGTGACGTATGCGGTGCGAGAGAGACAGGAAATGAATATGCGCGTGAGCTTACCTTCTCTTGGTTTTAGTATCATGGTTTACCGGTTCAAATGTCCTCTAGTGTGAATTGATATAATTACTATTCACACAAATGTATCATAAGCATATACGTATTAATAAACAATACGGATCATAACGGGTGCCAGGATGAAGCCAAAAATATGAAACAAATGAATATCCATAAGGATTTGGTGGCATGATACGCATGCGTCATGCGCTATTATAGTAGTCATCAAAGACATGCGTTTCGGTGAACAATGACGTTTACTAGCCTTTCAATCAAAGCAGTATGTGTCTGATCGTTTCAAAACTTTTCCTTATGGATAGTCATTTGTTTCAAAAATCGGCTTCATGTTTCGCTATGGAAACAGATAGAGATTATCCGTATTGATTATTAATACGTATATGATCATAAGCAATAAGCCACAATTCATAAGCGAACATTTTGAGACAATTGATTTTGTATTGCCAAAGAGGAATATTTATTACCAATACATAATTGGGAATTTATTAATGTTTGAATAACTTATATTTATGAAGTTCCCAATAGTATTTCAATATATGGCAACTGTGCTATGGTCTGCTATCACTTACGACATCAGAACGTCAGTTTTTACTCGCGGTAAATTTCAATCCGTTTGAATATTACCGTGGCATTATTGATGATTTCACCACCTAAAAACCGACCAAAAGATTCTTGAAGAATATGAAATTGAAAGGTAGGTATTTGAGTGATGATTCTATTTGACAAATAAAAAAAATTATTCCACTCGCCTATTTGTGTTTCCTCATTCTCTCACGTCATATATACATGGAATTTCCTGGCCTACTGGGCCATATCTCTAAGCCGTCAGCAGTATTTCACAAATTTCTCGATAAATATTGATCCGATTTCGCGATATTCCAATCTCCAATACGTGAAAAAGCTCCTTTAATTTGAGGTATCTCAAGGGGTAGGGCGCTCATCAAATGTTTGAGAGTCGGGGTAGCTCGATGTGATGGGGTGCGTTTTTATGCAAGCTTTTTAAGCTTTTCAGGTCCCCTCTTTGCCAAGAAAATTAGCGTTAGACTTCGCCATTGTTTTTCCGTCGAGGTATTTCGAGGGAGACGAGTTTTCGAATTGGCGTCATGAAGGAGAAGTCGCGAATGTAAGATCGGAAAGAGAAGGAAAAATATACAGGGTGAGGCAAGGTCATATACAGGGTGTTTTACAATTCAGTAGCAAGATTTGTATTTAGGGTCGAAATGAGACTTTTTTCTGTGACGGGAAAAAAGTTTGACATTTCATCGATAGGTCACAAAGTATCATTTTTCATGAATTGGTTTTTTTTCTACTGGAAAAAAGTGATTACTTCCTACCCGGATATACAGGGTGAATCTGAAAGTGAAGTTTTCTATTCAACGGGGTATATATCTTGCCAAAATAAGTTGTTTGTCCAAAAATTGTTTGTGTGAATAATTTGAGATAACGGAGGTAGGGGCATTTCGAAGTTTAGTACATTAAGAATCTTTTCCTCCAACCGGCAGGTATAGTGGCTTCTTCCTGCCGCTTAACTGGCAGAAAAGTTGTACTTTCACTGCCTAGGCAGAAAAAGTTTGTTGCTATGGAACGTTCCAAGAAATGCTAATGAAATTAGTAATCAAAATTGACACTGACATTGGGTGAACAAAAATTGATGGAGTTTTCATTGAAAAAATTACACAAAATTGGTTTTTTTATCATTTGGAGAAAAAATTCGATGTTTCGCACGGCAGCAAATGTAGATTGACTTCCTTGGCTGAATTCCTAGCCTCGCTACGCTTGGCTATGAACTATCAACCGTGGCAGTCAGTCTACCACTTTTCTGTCTAGTAAAACAAATAACTATCAATTAATCTTACATTTATTTATAAGAGAAAATATGATAAAAAAATCACTTTGAAACGAAAATTAATAGGTTGAAAATGTGAAAAGAAGTATTTGATTAATTCATCTGATGAAATAATGCAACCATGGGTTATCTAATGCTGGACTAATAACGGCTATTTTGTGTTTTTTCATGAAAATGTTAACAAAATGTTTCATAGTTGGAGTCTTCTTCAAACCTTTTAATACCTGTACCTCCGTTATCCTACATTTTTTATATCATCAAAATTTTGCAAAACAACTAATTTTAGAGAATACCTCACTTTCAGATTCAACCTGTATAGGTGATGCACTGTTGATGGCTTTAGTTGTGCCAGTTTCGACCTTGATTTAGATAATGAAAAACATGTTATACGTACAGTGTCATTCATAAAGTCGGCATCAAATGAGAAATACTCTTTTTTTTGAAAATTCGACCTCAGCGTTGTGATTTGCCTCGAAAAATATTAAAAATAGACTATTCGGTCGTGTTCGCGTGATTTTCGCTATTCGAATTCCAAAAAAGTTCGCTGGGGAAAGAAAAGACTTTGAACGTTCTATTGCAACTTTTAGATTTTGATATTTTTTCAATTTCTACGAAGTCCGTAATATGGTAATAGTAAAAACAATTAACACCGACAAAACTTTCATCCTAGTAGCTTCATCATGCTACTAACTTTCGATCACTGATTATCGACAAAAGTATGTTTTTCTGCAACCGACACAGAAGTCGTCCATTTTGATACTAAAATTAGCTCTTATATTGACGTTTCTATTACTGACACAAAAATAGGTATGTTGCTAGACAACATATTCAGTTCCTAGGAGCTAAAGTTGAACTTTAGCTCCTAGGAACTAAAAAGGATCTACTGGACGTCATCAAGAATAAACAACATTGTGACGGTTGGTTATTTGGGTTGAGACGCATACCTGATTTGTTTCCGATTTCAGCAGATTTGACATTTCATACCCATGCTGGAGATATAAATACACCTCTTATTATAGTTTAGTATTGAAATTATAAACATCTCAGTTAAGTATTTTTCTTTTGATCAGGCAAGCCTTCAAGATGCAAATACTTGCTTGATCTGTATTTCATCCGTTATTCTCGGGATGGATAACTTGTTTTTGAATAATCACGGCAAGCAATAGTTTTTTTGTCTCAAACAACGATATTGTTTAGCTTCATTTGATTATCAAGTCAAACACAGTGTAGTATGGAGAGGAATAAATAATCACTATTATCATTATTGTTGTTGATATGCTCACTAACCTAACATTTTCCACGTCTTGTTCCTATATATAGCTGGCACTGACGCGGTATTTTCCATTAGAGCACCTGGTCCATACACAAATATGTCACTCTGTGGTTGTATTTATATTGAATCCTAGAAAACCTAACCTGCTGTTAATGCAGGTAGAATATTCTCACCACATGGATTATTTGTTAATATTTGTTGCATTGCATACATATGGCACGGCATTGGTGGTTACTTCACATGTTTATTTGAGTTAATTGCTTCGGTTGCAAAAAAAATAGCATGTTTCATTCGCATCAAAAGTGACTTTGTTCGACTCGCAAATTTTGCTTTCGCTCGGCTTCGCTAAACGCTCCGCCTCGCAAATGCAAAATTCGCTTGTCAAACAAAGTGTCACTTTTGATCCTAATAAAACAATCTACTATTTCTTCAAAAAAGAATAATCTACGCTTCAAATTTCTGTCGGGTTTGGTACAGAGTTGATGTCACGTCAATCATTCAGGAGCGAAATCGATATAGGTAAATAAAGTTGTTCAGTACTAAAATGATGCCAAAGTCATATATCAACATATAATCAAACAAGTTAACGTATCTTACCAAAGTTTAGGACAAATAATTCCAAGTTCCACGATTAGAAAGACCCAAAAGATATCATGAAATAGAAGTTGCAATAGAACGGTCAAATTCGGGACACATGTGTAAAAAATTGGATAAAAACCAACTTGTCTTGAAGATTTTTTTTCGAAATTCGACCAAATCAGCTCATTCATAGCTATCAATTTGATGTTGAAACGATTATGGAATGTAGCAAACGTTACGAGACATCGAACAAGTGTGCCATTTTTCAAATTTTTGTTAGCAAAACTTAAAGCCCAAGTCGAATCTCAAAATAAATTATTACACAATTTTTCCCAAATGATACCAATTTCAGAATGATACTATACACAGGGTATTCGAAAAATCAGTATCATGACTTCAGGGACTTGTGTTCCGAGTCTAAAAATGATTTTTTTAACACCCTTTCATTGTTGAATAGGAATATTCCCAGATAATTTATGAACATGAAAAAATGGATATATTTCGAATTGACTTGGCTATTACTTGAAGGAAATCTATAGCAAATGTGAAAACTTCACAAGCGATGAGATTTCCATAAAATTCGCTAACACAGTAGCTTCATCAGGTGAGAGACTGTTACAATGAATAAGAAAAAATACTATATTACACACGTTTTATAAGGCATATTGGCGCACTACAACGCGTGCGACAATATAGTGTCGTACCAAACTTTAATAATAATATACTATTTCATGCAGAAAATAAGTACCTTATACTATTCGTAGGTAACTGATATGAGTATATTATATCATTATGTATAAATTGATGATTTAACGAATAATAAGTCACGTTTATTGACGTATGTAATCAAACCAAT